AAGTTACGGAGGATTTGGCTGATTGCTTTCAAATCCCTAGGAACGTGGAGGTAAGATTCCAAAGTGGGGTCCAGACAGATAGCACAGGGGTTCAGGTCCTTGCCTTTCATGTAACTAACCCTGGTTTGATCCCAGGTACCTCATGTGGTCCCCCAAGCACCATCAGGAGCAAACCCGGAGCACAGAACCAAGAGTAGCCTCCAAGCACTTCAGGGTGTGCCCTCAAACCTTCTCTCTACCCTCCAAATAAATTGATTTTTTTAAAATTCAGGGGCTAGAGAAATAGTACAGGGGCCAGGGTATTGGCCTTGCATGCATCTGATCCATATTTCATCCCCCACACCACAGATAATCCCTCGAGCCCTGTCAAAAGAGATCCTTGAGCACAGAGCCAGGAGTAAGTTCTGAGCATCACCGGGTGTGCACCACAAAAATAAATTTATTGGTCATGGTATTGGATCCTACCACTTGTCAATTCCTCTGGGGACTGACGTGGGGGAATACTTGAGTGTGGAAGGAATCTATCTCTATCTCAATAAAAGGGTCATTTACATGGTTGTTTATGCTGAAGCTCATCAAACAGTCGCTTGAGAGCTGTGTGTTTTCCTGTATGTAGTAATACTTCAGCGTTTAAAAATGTCACTTAGGAGAGAAACTGGGGATGTGGGTGGAAGTAAGTGGGCACTGGTGAAGGGATTGATGCTCCAACATTGAGAATCATGAATAACTCAGTAACTTCTTTCCCCCAGGGGAGAACAATAAAGCAGTCCCCCCACTACCACAAATGATGCAGTTGGGTTTCCTATAACTGGGGAAATTACAGGGGTCAGCACATGGGGGGTATAAGTTGGTCCTGGGAAAATCACCTTGGTTCCCCCTGCCAGGTGTAAGAATAGCTTTGTAACTTTGTATTTCATGATGATACAATAATTTTTTTTCTCAAGTTTTATTATTTTTTATTTTCTTAAAAATTTTTATTAGTGAAACACCATGAGGTACAGTTGTAGACTTACAAATTTTTGTGCTCGGGTTTCAGTTATACAATGATCGAGTACCCACCCATTCCTCTACCAGTGCCCATTCTCCCAGGAGGTTTACTTCATGGGTTGGAGGCCAGCTGCACATGCTAGGGGTAAAGGCACCTCAGATAGAGAAGGGAGCACCAAATAAAGGGTGTTGGGAAGATCCACCCAGAATGGGAGATGCATGATGAAAGTAGACTATAGACCGAACAGGATTGCCACTCAATTCCTTTTTTGCAAACCACAGCACCCAAAAGGAGAGAGAGAATAAATTTTTTTTAAGTGTTACTTATGTGAACGGCTAGAGCGATAGCACAGCAGTAGGGCGTTTGCCTTGCATGCAGCCAACATGGCCAACCCGAGTTCGATTCCTCCGTCCCCCTCGGAGAGCCCGGCAAGCTACCGAGAGTATCTCGCCTGCACGGCAGAGCCTGGCAAGCTCCCCGTGAGGTATTCGATATGCCAAACACAGTAACAACAAAGTCTCCAATGGAGACGTTACTGGGCCCGCTCGAGCAAATCGCTGATCAACGGGAGGGCCTTTACTTTTTTACTTACTTATGTGAACATTCAGTGTAGCTTAGAGATGGCAGAGGTGGAAAGGTGAGAGGAGGCTGGAGAGTTGGTGGATGTTTTCCACGACTGTGAGGGAGCTGGGTAAGGACAGTGAGGACAGACAGAAGGTGGTAGGTTCCAGTGCCATGAAGCTCAGAAAGAGCATTAAGCCGGGCACCATTAATTAGCTGAAAGGCGTTTATAAAAACATGGCCACTCTTCCTGCTGCCAACTCTCAGATGAGGTGAGATCATATGTGCTGCATTCCAGTGTCCCTCCCAAGACAGTACCAATGACGGGTACACCATGAGGTCTGTCCTTACCAGTTACCCATATTACCTCCCCATTATCCCAACTATCCAGACCTATCCTTCCTCCTCAGACTGTGGGCTTCTCCTAGTTGAGTATAGGAGACAATTTTCCTCACGTTGGCTCTTAAGGTAGTGATGGGATGTTGCTAGAAAAAAGGCCAAGTAAGGGGCTGGAGCACAGCGGGTAGGGCGTTTGCCTTGCACGCAGCCAAGATGGCCGATACAGGTTCGATTCCCAGCATCCCATATGGTCCCTCGAGCACCGCCAGGAGTGATTCCTGAGTGCATGAGCCAGGAGTAACCCCTGAGCATCGCCGGGTGTGACCCAAAAAGCAAAAAAAAAAAAAAAAAAAAAAGGCCAAGTAAGTGCAGGGCAGAAGTTGCAATCGAAGCCCTCCACCCCACCACCGCCCCCCAACACACACCCGTGATCTGTGACCACCAGGGGGCAGCCTCGAGCCTCGGTCCAAAGGATGCTGCTACTCACTGGGAGAATGGCTGAGTCAGTTCTTTCTAGATGGTGTGGCCGGTGTGGTTGCCAAGGTGGTTCAGGGGGTTGAATGATGCTCAGGATTTACTCCTGGTTCTGCATTCAGGGACCACTCCAGGCATTACACAGCAGACTATATATGGTGCCAGGAATCGAACTCGCATTACTATCTAGTCGGTGTGCATAATCCGTTTTTTGGTGGTATCTCATATATGTATATAACACAGGCATGATAGCACATGGATACTTTTGAACTGATTCTGGCATAAGCAGCCTCTGAGCTAGAGGTAATGCAATCTGTCTTTCATTCGTGTCTGTAAGATTCGTTTCATGTAATAAACTAAGTTAATTTACCAGTGGGCACTTAGTCCTGCAGAATGCACCAGGAAGATGGATCTTCTTGAAAAGTGTTTGCTTTAGAGACTGGAGCTAGAACACGGCAGGTAGGGCACTTGACTTGCATGTAGCTGACTCAGTTCTATCCCCTGCACCCCATATGGCTCCCTGAGCCCCTCCAGGAGTGATTCCTAAGTACATAGCCAGGAGTAAGCTCTGAGTACAGCCAGGTGTGGCCCAAAAACCAAAAGAAAAAAATGAAGAAAAATGTCTACTTTAATGGATATGTGAATATGAAAGAGCTCAAACTTCATCAGCTTCACTCACCTCGCCAAAGCACCCAAGTTGAAGTTCTCAGTAAAATCAGATATGACTGGCATCGCCCTGCACCACTTCCATCAGACCGCTTGCTTCTTCTTTTTGTTGTGGGAGGAGCTCCCTAGCGGTGCTGGGGAACAACAGGCCATACCCACAGTGCTTGGGAGGCCTGTGGTGCCAGGGATTGAATCCGGGCCCTGTGCGTGCCAGACTTGTGGTCCAGCCCTTCTCCCTCTCCCCTGCTAGTTTCTTCCCAAGCCCTCATTTCTTTTTCTTTTTCTTTTTTTTTTTTGCTTTTATTTTTGAGGGGGGTTCACACCCAGCAATGCACAGGGCTTACTCCTGGCTCATGCACTCAGTAATTACTCCTGGCAGTGCCTAGGGAACCATATGGGATGCTGGGAATCGAACCTGGGTCGGCCATGTGCAAGGGAAACGCCCTACCTGCTGTGCTATCACTGGAGCCCCGCAAACCCTCATTTTATTTTTGCATTTTTTTGGATCACACCCAGCGATGCTCAGGGGTACTCCTGGATCTACACTCAGGAGTTACTCCCGGTGGTGTTTGGGGGACCATATGGGATGCTGGGGATTGAACCCAGGTTGGCCACTTGCAAGGCAAACACCCTACCTGCTGTACTATCGCTCCGGCCCCCAAACCCTCATTTCTAAGGCCACCCAGAGTCTGACAGAAAGTGAAGGGACAGAATCAGCCTGTCAGGTTGCGGTGGGTTTGCTTTGGGGCTAACAGGGCTCTCAAGGCTTATTAGGAGTTAACAGTTGGTCTTGAAACTTGTTTTTTGGGGGGGTGGAGGTCACACCCAGTGATGCTCAGGGATTTCTCCCGGCTCTGGACTCAGGAATTACTCCTGGTGGTGCTTGGGGGACCATATGGGATGCCGGGGTTTGAACCCAAGTTGGCCGTGTGCAAGGCAAACGCACTACCCACTGTACTGTCGCTCAGCCCCAGTGGTCCTAGTGTTGCTAGTCATCTGAAAGTCACTGTCCCCGTCTCTCCAGAGACCCAGAGGGTGCACCAGCAGCATCCTCTCTCCTCAGGGATGCTAGTGTTGGTGTCCCCTGCCACTCAGGTCCCTGGGCAGCGTTGTGTGATGCTGTGTCACAGGAAGTTACCCACTTCTGCTCGATGACTAAACTGAGAACTGAGAACCGAGCATGGGAGTGGGTTCTCTGCCACCAACCACATTTCAGGTGCCCCTCACCAGCTACACCAGGGGACCTGGCCCGCTCCTGCTGCTGTCTTTCTCACTGTCCATCCAGGTGACAGGGCTTCCTCCCTGGGCCCCAGAGGCTATGGGCAGGGCAGGGGGGAGCAGATGGTGGACTCCCCAATTCACAGTTCCCTTGCAGTAGAGGCTCACTCTCCAGCTCGGATCCCGGAACTCATTTCTTCTACTAAGATTAAACTGAAAGAAACAGTAAAAAGGGCTCAGAGGAAGGGCACAATTACTTTTAAATGGTCAGTCTGAATTTGATGAGTTGAATAAGCCTATTAAACAAAGCTTATTATTCTAGGATCTAGCTATAATTAGGAGTTGGAGAAACCTAATTAAATCTAAGATAAGGTTCTTAGTGAAACTGATTTTAATGAAACGAGAGACTGTCGCTATCAAACATTCATTACCCAAAACCCAGCGTGGGCCGGGTCTGTGGCTTCAGCCTCCGCGGGGAGCCTGGCGCGATTCTCAGGTCCCCTGCAGACCCCCCAATAACAAACACAGGAGTGGGGCCCAGGAATCTGTTTAACAAACATTCCAGGGAGGCCAAAAAGCTGTCAGACTTGAAAAACACTGAAACATTGATGAATGGTGAATTTCACTAGCAAGTTTAATCAAGGGCTTCAATAATTGGCTTGATTTGTCCGGGTGGCATATAGGAATCTTGAACCATTAGAGCTATGTCTCCCAGAGATTTAGTTAACGCTCGTTAGCAAAAAGCCAAGTAACCATGAAGAGGATGTAATTCATATGGAAAAAATTATGAGACTGAATACTAAAATAATCATGCAATTAATATTCATTAACCAGCAGTCACATTTATTAATGAGCTTCACTTTCGCTGTGATGAAGTGAAAGGTCACATTCAAGTTAGAAATGTCTATAGTCAGAGAATGGCAAAAAAAAAAAGGGTGAGGGCATGAGAGGAGACTGAAAAGAATCTGAAAAACGATTAAATAAGCAATGTTAGAAATTTGGTTGCTAAAGCGGAAAGGGCTTAATGAGGTGCCCAAAAATGTGTGGCGCGGAGGGCAGTTGGAATATTCAATATTCTCCTGCAAACTCTTTTTTTTTTTTTGGCATCAAACCCAGCGATGCTCAGGGGTTACTCCTAGCTCTGCACTCAGGAATCACTCCTGGCAGTGCTTGGGGGACCATATGGGATGCTGGGAATCAAACCTGGGTTGGCCACGTGCAAGGCAAATCCTCTACCCCAATGCTATCGCTCCAGCCCCCGCAAACTCTTGCCTCTTTTCAGTGGAAGCTTCTCTTTGGGTCTTTTTTCGGCCTCCAGGATCCTGTGATCTGTTCATAGCCAGGAAGGAGCCAATGCCACCCAAAGGACACTGGCCATTGGCTCCTTCATGCGGTGCTGAGACAAGGTGACCCTGGGAAGGGGGTGAAGAATGGGACCCCAGAGTTCAGGGGCTGCTTGGCCCCTCTTGCCTCTTCCCGCTTCCTCCATGACCACCAGGATGAGCTGAGTATCTGGGACAGCCAAGGCTGCGACAGGCAGTGACAACAGCGTCTACGTGTCCTGGGAGTTGGCTCAGGGCAGGGGACTCTGCTAGTGGTGGAGAAAGGTGAGGCTTCAGGAGTTCCTAGAAGTCCCCGTTCTCTCCCTTCCTGGGCCCCAGACCCCCTTTCCCAAACCTTTTTTTTTCTTTTTGGATCACATCAGCAATGCACAGGTGTTACTCCTGGCTCTGCAATCAGGAATTATTCCTGGCTGTGCTCAGGGGACCATATGGGATGCTGGGAATCAAACCCGGGTTGGCTGCGTGCACGGCAAATGCCCTACCCACTGTGCTATCGCTCCAGCCCTCCCCAAGCCCTTCTTCTTGGGCCCCCATGCAGCACCCTCCCAGCTCTCGGCCAGTGCGCTGTGCCACTGTGGGCGGGCATCTCCTTGGGCAGCTTTCTTTCTGTGACCCTGGGCAGCACCTGCTATTATCAGGGTAAATGTGAGTGAGGGCCCAGGGCAGGGGTGGCCCCGATGAGAAGGGCAATGAGAGAACTGGGGAGGGCACAGGGACCAAGGAAAGAAGGCTGTGGTGACTCCTGTTGTCTCCCACCAGGCCACTGTTACTTGGGAACCCGAGGCCACTCCTTGGATGAAGCGACTCCTGACTCCCAACAGCAGCGAGCCCAGCTCTCCAAGATCCCAATAAACCCTCTGACCCCACCTCTCTCCTGAATCCTTGCATCTCCTCCATCTGTCTCATGCCCTGATGCCCTCGCTGGGCTCTCCTGAGACAACTCTCCTGTCCACCAGAATGGCTGGCCCAGGCAGTGACCCCTGCACAAGCCACCCCTCTCAAACCTGGGCCCAGAGACTGGTTCCTTCCAGGGGGAGGAGCCACTTGGATCCACCCTGCCTGCACACAAATATGTGGGTTTTTTTTCTTTTTTGGGTCACACTTGGTGATACAGGAGTTACTCCTGGCTCATTCACTCAGGAATTATTACTGGCAGTTCTCAGGGGACCATATGGGATGCTGGGAATTGAACCTGGGTTGGCCTCGTGCAAGGCAAACACCCTGCCTGCTATGCTATTGCTCCAGCCCCTGCGTTTGTACTGTGTGTGTGTGTGAGTGTGTGCACACACACATGTGTGGTGTTTGGGGGTGACTGAACATAAAAAGAACCAAGGGTTACTTAGTCCAGAGGCTACTCCTGAATCTGTGCTTGGGGGTCACTTCCAGCAATGCTCAGGGGACCATGCGGTGCTGGAAATGAATGAACCAAGTCTCATTGTGCGCATGTGCTCAGCCCTTTGAGCTATTTCTCCAGCCCGAGAAACATTCTATTTGGGGGTGCAGGGGTCACACCTCGTGGTTTTCAGGCTGAAAAATACTCTTTTTTTGGGGGGGGGAGTTCACACCTCACCTAGTGGTGCTCAGGGTTTACTCCTGGCTCTGTACTCAGGGATCACTCTTGGCAGTGCTCGGGGTACCATATGCAATGCCAGGGAGTGAACTGGAGTTTGCTGCATGCAAAGCGGGTGCTCTGTACTATCTCTGCAGCCTAACAAATGCTCTTTCCCAATCTTCACGGAAGCTCAGGTCCCTAAACATTCTTTTCTCCTTCATCTCATTATTTAACCCCAGTGTGCGGGGAGGGGAAGTTGTTGATTATTTTGTTTTGTTTGGGGGCCACACCTGGCAATGCTTAGGGGTCACTCCTGGCTCTGCATTCAGAGATCACTCTTGGAGAGCCTCAGGGGATGCCGAGGATGGAATCCTACCCACAGGCCCTAAATCGCCAAGTTTTGATGGTGGCCATGCTGGCGGGGGCTGAGGCTTGACGGACACGCCTGAGACACGGAGGTGGTGAGGCCACGGTCTTTACTGAGGGAACCAGTCTGCAGCCCCGACCCGCAGCCTGGGCAGAGGGAGGCGCGTGAGGGTGTCAGGAGGATCCGTGTTTGATGACGCTGGCGTAGTCGGTGCTCGGGTCCTCCTTGGAGGGTTCCCTCTCAGCAGTGGACAGTCCTTGGAGAGAGGCATAATGGAGCTCCTGCTCTGGGTGCTGGGCCTGGCCGGAATGAGGGAAGGGGTGAGGGGGCCTCGCTTCCTCTCCTTCTTCCCCGAGATTCTGTCCCAACTCCACTTTTGTACCTAACTGCCTCCTCTTTCCTCCCCTCTGCCCTGCTTTCCCTCCCCCTTCCCTCCTCTCTGCCTGCCCACTCTCTCCCCTCTCTGCCTAAGTTCTGTTCTCACTGCCCTTTGTGCTTTTTTCCCCTCCCTCCCTCCCTCCCTCCCCCTCCTTCCCTTCATCCCTCCCTCCCTCCCTTCTTTTCTTCCTCCCTCTCTCCTCTCTCTCTCTCTGTCTGTCTCTCTGTCTCTCTCTCTCTCTCTCTCACTCTCTCACATACACGCACACGCGCGCACGTTTTGTCCCAGCTCTTACTCTCATTGTTTCTCAGTCTCACTCTTTCAGTCTCTCACTCCCTAATTTTCTTCTCTCTGCTTTTGTTTTTTGGGCCACCCTCGACTGCTTAGTCCTGGTCCTGCACTCAGGGATCCTTCCTGGCAGTGCTCACTGGACCATAGAGGGCGTCGGGATTGCACTCATGTCTGCGGGTACAGGACCCTCCCTGACTTTCTCACTCTGCTTGCGTTTTTGGTCCCACACCTGGCAGTGCTCAGGGACTGCGCTGTGCTGTGCTCGAGGTCACTGTGGGCCCAGCTCAGCTCGGGGGACCCTGCAGGTCCAGCTCCGAGTCTGGCCTCCCGCCTGAGTGTCTCTCCCATCTCACGCTTGTCTTCCTCTCTTGCTTGAGCTCCTCTTGCTCTCTCTATCCCATTTCTCTCCCCTCCTATTCTCTTTTCTCTTCTCTCTCCTTTTTTTTTCTCTTTCCTTTTCTCTTTCTCACTCTTGTGCTCTAGCTCTCTCTTCCTCCCCCCTCCATCCCTCTCCTAAGTTCCCTCTTGTCTCCATTTCACCCCTGCCCTGGCCCCAGACTCACCCAGTTCCTCTCCAGCTTCCTCACTGTAAGGAAAGCAGCACAGTCAGGGAGGGGTCCCCTCCCCAGTCCCCTACGGTGACCCTCACCATGTCCCCGCTGTGTCCCCATCAGGCCAACCCACATCCCTCCACCCTGTTCCTCCTACGTCCTCCTCCCACCGTGTCTCCCTCCACTGCGTCCCCCGCACCGTGTCCCCCCACTTCATCTCCCCACCATATCCCCCGCCATGTTTCCCTCATGTCCCCACCCCTGTGGCCCCCACCATATCCCCCACATCCTCCTGCCCATCCCCCCGCACCCCTCCATGTCCCCTTCCCACCAAGTCTCCCACCACTTCTTCTCCTGGTGTCCTCACACCACATCCCCCCCCCCCATGTCCCCTTGCACTGTGTCCCCTCAGGAACTTGCCATATCTCCTCACGAGCAGATGTCTCTGTGGTTCCCTGTCAGAGCCCGGGCCTTCCCCGTCACTCTCCCCTGCCCTCTCCCAACCACTTCGGTCAGGACTGATGGGGGTTCCCGGGAAAGGGGGAGCAGGCTGAGCACTGCTGTGGGGAAATGAGGAGGGGCGGGGCGGGCTCACCTCTCCGATGGAGCCGGCACAGACAGACGGACAGAACCAGCACAGCCAGGAGCGCGAACCCTCCCAGCCCCACGCCCACCAACAGCAGGGAACAGCCCACTTCTGCAGGAAAAAGGGGCGTGGGTTAGAAAAGGGGGTGCCACCTCCCTCCTAGCTAGTCCCACATTTCCAGGTGGTCATGGGTATCAGGTGTCCTCGCCAATTATTTTTTTGGGGGGGTCACACCCGGCGGTGCTCAGGGTTTGCCTAGGGGTCACTCCCGGTGGGGCTCGGGGACCATATATTGCTGGGGACCGAACTTAGGTCGGCTGCATGCTGAGCAATGAACTAGTGACAGGCAGAAAGATCCAGAAAGATCCTCTCAGCCAGCTCCCCCAGCTGGTACCCTCAGCCGCGTCTCAGCCCTTATGCCAGAGGCTGCCACTCTGAGCGTCCCCCTTTGAAGTCTAAGTGCCCTGAGGTCCCCAGATGCACCCCCCCCCCCCACTTTCCCGCCCTCCTGCCTCCCGCAGTGAACTTACTCTCAGAGCATACACCATCCATCTGGGTGGAGACCAGAGACCCGCCAGAGGTGAGGAAGCCCGGCCGGGCTCTGTCAGGTCCCTCTCCTGGGCAAGTCACGTGCCTCCGGTTCCGCTCTGAGTGTGCAGAACCGAGTCACAGTCAGTGGTCAATGCTGGGCCCCAGGCCTCACCCGGACATACGCCCTCCTCAGGGTGCTTGTCATCCCTTGCGACTTATCTACACAACATGGGGTGACCCATGTCCATTCCTCAGAGAGGGGCCGGGGACAGACCGTGGGCTCTGCCAAGGACTATTGAAGTGGCAGAGCAGCTGTGCCCAGCTGCGGAGGCCACCCCTGCCTGTCCTACACTGGCCGGCTGATCTGAGGGGTCTCCCAGAGGGGTCCGGGCTCAGGAGATGGGTGAGGGTGTGAAGTGCAGAGTAGGGGGGGGCAGGTGGGAAGCAGGAGTGAAGCCCAGGACCCACTCTCTCATCCCCAGAGCAGCTGGCGGGGAGGGGGGGGAACCTTGCTAGCTGAGCTGGTCCCCAGGAGAAGTGGGGCATGGCGAAGTCAGGCCCCATAACTTCCCCTCAGGCACTTCCTGCCCCCCAACCGCGGGTTCCTGTTTGACTTCACCCTAGAGCCAGCTGCACTGACCAGGGTCTCTAAACAGCCCTTCCTGGGCTCCAGAGGTCTGCAGGGGGGCTGGGGGGAGCAGAACCTCTGGCAGAGAAGGGGGGCGTTGCAGAGGCGGTCATAGAAGGAGGAGGAGGAGGACAGGGGAATTGGGTTTCTTTCCTCCAGAGGCCACAGAATTCCTCCCGGGGACCCAGCCACACCCCCTCCCTCAGGATAATGCCAGCTCTCTGGGGGAGTGGTGGCTGCCTTTCTCCCACCCTGCTCCCCCATTTTCCCAGCAGGTTCCTGCTCTCTCCCGCAGCTTACCCAGACCCAGTGGCCTGCAGGGGAAGCGACTGCTGACTGGTCGGAGGTGCCGGGTGGAGAATATGGCCACCTCAGACATTCCCACCTTACACAACAGATTTCCCTCCCAGCTTCTGCACGGTCCACACCCCCCACACACACCCACCCAGAGGAAGTCAGTCTTGAGGCTTATGTTACAGTATCTTTCCCTTCAAGCTAGGCCTGTGACCCCACCAGTTCCAGCACTGAGCCCCCCCCCACGACCCCCCTCGTCGGTGAATGTGCTTCCTCTGGGGTATCTTCCCCATGGCCTCCATGAGCATTCATGATCCTGAGGGATGTGACACCTCCTCTTGAATGGCCCTGAGGTGACTTACCTGTTGTTTGGAGCGGAGGTGGTTCTTTTTTAAAATTTTTTTATTTTATTATTATTATTATTTGTTTTTTGGGGTCACACCCAGTGATGCACAGGGGTTACTCCTGGCTCTGCACTCAGGAGTTACTCCTGACGGTACTCAGGGGACCATAAGGGATGCTGGGAATCAAACCCGGGTTGGCCACGTGCAAGGCAAACACCCTACCCACTGTGCTATCTCTCCAGCCCCTTTTATTTTTTATAAAGTTTTTCACAATATTTCATTACACTTAATATTCGAACACCAATCCCACCACCATTACACCTTCCCACCACATTTTCATCCCAAACCCCAAACCCTGCCCGCAAAGCAGAACTGAAATTATTTATTTTGCATTGCTTACTATGAATAATCCATTAAAAATGAGACGAAAAAGATTTCTTAGAGGAAAGTATGTGAAGATTGCTGAATTTCACCCAGGAGCCATTAAGCCTTTCTATAAGAGAATTAGCACTGTAGCACTGTCGTCCTCGTTGTTCACTGATTTGCTTGAGTGGGCACCAGTAACATCTCCATTATGAGACTTGTTACTGTTTTTGGCATATCGAACACGCCATGGGGAGCTTGCCAGGCTCTGCTGTGCAGGCGGGATACTTTTGGCAGCTTGCCGGGCTCTCTGAGAGGGACGAAGGAATCAAACCCGGGTCGGCCGCGTGCAAGGCAAACGCCCTACCCGCTGTGTTATCGCTCTAGCCGTAAGAGATTAGTAACATGTTAAAGGTTGAGCCTTGTGTGCTTATATCTATATCTGCATAAATATATTTCCACCTAAGATTGGCTGCCTTCTACTTTAAACCCAATCAAATGTGGTGTGCTACTCATGGTGGTGTAAAGTATGAGATGTATGGTACATAGTGTATGGTACATAGTGGTGTAAAGCAGTTTTGGCTGTGCGGTCCAGGAATAAATTGATACAGGAATAAATTGATACATGGGTGAGGTTAGTCCCAGGATGTGGAGAGCAGTCATGAGCACGGTAATGGCTGAGTTCTGGAGGTTTTCGGCTGCTGGGGCTGGCTCCGTTGGGAGAGGGAGGGGCATCCACTCCCCTCTGGGTTGCCCAGGTGGGAGTGATTCTTGTAGGGTGCTTGATGAATAATCAGGAGTCAGGAACACTAGATCTAAATGAGCACTACTGATAGAGATGAAAAGTTGCTAAGTTGGTGCTGGAAAAAGAAGTGTAGGTAACTCAGGTGGACTTCCTGTAGCTGGCAGCATTCTTGTGTTAGGCACCCAGTTAATTCAGGGCTGTGGACCCAGGATCTCTGAGCAGAGACTTTGGAGTAAGGCCTTGTAGTGGTGCTGTGGTGAAGAGGGAGATGTGTGCAGATGGATGGCACATTTTGTCCTTGAGGAAGAGAAAGTCTGGGAACTAATGTGGAGGTCAGAGTAGATTTGGTACTTGGGTCTACATGAATTTTCTTTTTTTCAATTAATGAACTTCCTACTATTTCCTCTCTGCTCTTCCTATACTCTCCCATAGCAGGAAAGGAGAGCAATATTCAGGCTTTTAAAAAATTATCCAGGGGCTGGAGCGATAGCATAGCGGGTAGGGCGTTTGCCTTGCATGCAGCCAACATGGCCGACCCTGGTTCGATTCCCAGCATCCCATATGGTCCCCCAAGCACCGCCAGGAGTGATTCCTGAGTACATGAGCCAGGACAAACCCCTGAGCATCGCCAGGTGTGACCCAAAAAGCAAAAAAAAAAAATTATCCAAAAGTCAAAATATAGACAAAATTTATTTGTTGGCTTTTGGGGCCACACCTGGAGATACTGAGGGCACATTATGAGATTCCAGGGATCAAACCCTGGTTGGCCGTGTACAAGGCAAACGCCCTACCCACTGTACTATCGCTCTGACCCCAAACATAAAGAAAAATAGAAATAATTGTAGTGGACCTATCCCTACCACCCACATTCTACAATGAACATGTTTCTATATTTGCTTTATCATGTATCTATCCATAATCCTATATTCTGATACATTTCAGAGTTCAAACATTACTATTTTCTATTTTGCTTTGTTTTGGGGCGGTGCTGTGCAGTGCTCATAGGAGTAGTGAGGACCAGTCCTGGTGGCACTTAGGTGATGTGGTATAGGGGATTGAACCAAAGCCTCCAGCACACACAAAGCAGGCACGTGCCCCTAACATTATACTGCTAAATTCTTTACTGTGCTCATCATCGACTCTGGTTTAGTATTTGTTTTCAAATTTATTCTGGGAGTGCTGAGGACGGAAAAGTTTACATATGATGAAATTTTAAAAAATCTGTGAAGTGCACAAGTGTTTATCATTTTTGTTTTGTTTTTGAATCACAGCTGGAAGTACTCAGGGTCTGCTTCCGGCTTGGAATTTGGAGTCACTCTTGGTGGTATTCAGGGAACTGTGTAGTATTGATTAGTATTCAGTACCCACCCCAGGTTTCGTAGACAAAACACATGCACACCTCATTATGATCTTTCAAGGTCCAAGCAGTTTTTCGTTTTTTTCTTGGGGGAGATCACACACAGCTGTGCTCAAGGCTCACTGATGGGCACAGGGGACTCTAGGGGTGCCAGGGATCAAACCCAGTTCAGACATGTGTAAGGCAAGAACTTAACTCACTACACTATTGCTCTGGCCCCTCAAGCACGGATTTTATTTATTTTGGGTTTTGGTCACACCCAGCTGTATTCAGGACTTATTCCTGGCTCTATGCTCAGGGATCTTTCCTGGTGGGAGATATATACTATGGTCTATGTGATGCCTGGAATAGAACCCAGGTTGGTGGTATGCAAGGCAAGCACCACACCTGCTGTACTATTTCTCCAACTCTGCACACAGTTTTTTAACTGTCTTGTGGTCAAGGCGCTAGAGTCACACAGCCTGGGTTCAGATCCTGACCCTACAAGTGTTGTGTGTCTTTTCACAAATTTTTTTTTTCTTTTTGAGTCACACCTGGCGATGCTCAGGGGTTACTCCTGGCAGTGCCCAGGGGACCATATGGGATGCTGGGAATTGAACTCGGGTTGGTCGCGTGCAAGGCAAACGCCCTATATACTGTGCTATCACTCCAGCCCCATCCACAAGTTCTTTAGTGTCTCTGTGCCTGTGTCCTTTTAGGCCTTTTGTCAGGATTAAAATAATCGTTACATATATAATGTATATAAATCAGTGGCAGGCATGTACTGTTATTTGTATGTGAGCCATATTATTATCACCGTTATTATTTGAGCACACAGCTTTCATCGAGAAGGGGACAGGGCCCAGGATTCCCTCTCGCCTCCTCAGCCCTTCTCTGCTCTCAGTTCAGCTCCCACCACACTGCACACCACACAATTCACTTGGGTGGTTTTTGTTTTTGCTTTTTGGGTCACACCGGCAATGCTCAGTGGTTACTCCTGGCTCTGTACTCAGGAACTACTCCTGGCGGTGCTCGGGGCACGTTATGAGATGCCAGGGATCAAACCTGGGTTGGCCATGTGCAAGGCAAATGCCCTCCCTGCTGTACTATCGCTCCAGCCCCAAGCCATTCACTTGGGCCTTGCTGCTTTCTTTGGCTTCCTCATCATTCACTTGTCCTTTCTTCATTTCCTCATAAACGTTTTGATTAGCATGCATTCAACGGAAGGGCTTTATGCTAGGCTGTGCGGCTGCAGTGGGTGAAGGGGATGTCTCTGGCCCTCCAGTGTATATGCGATATAGCAGGGAACTGAATTCCCATTTCCATCCCTCCACACTATGCCTGCTGATGCTGGGATCTAACTTCACTCTGCTTTTCCCTCTTCCTCTGGGGGTGGAGGATGAGGGGGGAATGGGAGGAGGAAGTCAGGAGATGTAGAAAAAAAGTTCTTCCTTCTCAGGGACCAAGATATCCATCCATACCTCCAGACCCCAACTCCAGTCCTTGACTTCAGGCGCCGGCAGCCTTACTTCTGGAGGTGGAGAACAGGGATAGTATGGGAGGCCAGTCTGGGAATTCTGCCCTTCCTGCGGGGGTCTTCCCTCAGATCTCCTTCTCCCTTGGGCAGCTGCTTCCTTTCCTTAGAGCCACATCTCTAAGACCCCCTCCGATTCTACTCCGAGAGCCTGTCTCTGCACCCCAACATCTTCCCCAGTTCAGAGAACCCAGGCATCCAAGCCGCGGGGCCCCAGCTCTGGGTAAACAGGAAGCTGGGTGAGCAGAGCAGGGGGTGCGGAAAGTCCCAGCCAGGTGTGTGCCTGGGGAGGGGGTGGCCCCACCCCCGTGCCCGAGGTATGAAAGCCCCTCGGCCCTGGCCCGGGCTCAATCTCAATGGGGGCGCTGGGGCCGGAGGGCTGGCGGGGGCAGCCCCACGCGAAGGGCTGCCCCCTGCTGGCCGTGGCAGGAGCCACTTCCCTGGTGACCCTGCTCCTGGCCGTGCCCATCACTGTGCTGGCTGTGCTGCTCGTGGTGCCCCAGGAGCAGGGAGGGCTGGTGAGTGGCCGCTCTGTCCCCCCGGGGGGCTGCAGAGTGTCCAGTGTGAGGGTGTGTGTGCATGTCTGTGCGGGTGCATGTGTACGCCTGTGGATGTGTGCACAGGAGCGTGTGCAGGGGGGATGCTCTTGCCTTAGCTTCTCAGCTGGCGTGGCCGCCCCTGGTGGGATGTTTTATCTGCTTCTGCCAGGCTCCTGTGTTGCTATGTACTGTCTCCATGCTCCTTCCTGCCTGTGTTCCCACATGCAGGCCTCCGTCTGCCTTGCCAGGCTCCGAGCACTTTCTCCCAAGTACACAGCCTTGCTGGCTCTCCCTTCCAGGGACACCTGTGAGGGGAGCTGGGGCAGGTGGGAGGAGAGAGGCGTGGACTGGGGCTTGGAACTTTGGCTGAGCGGGGTAGGTACCAAGCTAGAGGCTGAACTTTGGGCTACTACTGTGACCCCATCCATGCAGGTAATGGGGACGGCTGACCAGGGGGCACAAGCGCAGAAGCAAATGGGTAAGAGACCGTCTCCCCCCAATCCACCGCCACACCCCTCGGGGCCTCCCAGCTCTCGCTCGCCCCAGGAATCCGTGTACCCCAATCCCGGTCCCAGACGCCGGGTCCTATTAGGGGATCCTCGCATGGCCGCCCCGCCCTCGAAAGTATTCCCTTCGCTCCTTCCAGGGACGCAGCACCTGCCAAAGGAAGAGGCGGGGGAGCCGGACCTCGGCCGCAGGGTCCCGGCCGCGCACCTCATAGGTAAGACCCGGGACCCGCCGTCACGCACCGCGGCTGCGGGCTCGTGCTCGCCTCCGCCCTTTGATGCCCCCACCTCCGCCCAGCACCCTCGGGCTCCATCCCAAAGCGGGTCAATCCCGCCTGGATCTCCGCAGCGTCCACTGGGGTGTCCTCTTGCCCCCACCCCCGCTGCAGCGGGTAGCACCCGGCCCGCACCCCCCTCGCTCGGTTCTCGCGGGGCCGCCGGGCCCGGCGAACTCGGGACCGGGGTCGCGGCGCCCACAGGCCCCGTTTCCCCGCAGGCGCCTGGAGCACGGAGCAGCGAGTGGGCTGGGAGGCAGACCGCGAGGAGGCGTTCGTGCGCAGCGGGGCGCGCTTCGCGGCCAACGACGGGCTGGCGCTGCCCCGGGACGGCCTCTACTTCCTCTACTGTCACGTGGGCTACCGCGGCCGCGCGCCCCCTGCCGGCCGCCCCCGCCGCGCGCTCACGCTGCGCAGCCGCCTGTACCGCGCGGGCGGCGCCTACGGCGCAGGCGCGCCCGAGCTGCTGCTGGACGGCGCCGAGAGCGTGGTCGCGGCCGAGCCGGGCCAGAGGCACGAGTACGGGCCCCTGTGGTACACGAGCGTGGGCTTCGGGGGCCTGGTGCAGCTCCGGCGCGGCGAGCGGGTGTACGTCAACATCAGCCACCCCAGCATGGTGGACTACAGGCGGGGGAAGACCTTCTTTGGGGCGGTGATGGTGGGGTGAAGGAGGCCGGTGGGCGCCGGGGTGTGACTGTCCCCAGACGGGCCCGGGACCGCGGGTTGGATGCGGAACCTGCGTGAAATAAAAGACCGCCAAGCTTGAGCGCTGCCCATCCAGACTCCGAGATGCGAACTTGTCTTCTTTCACGGTGGTTAAAGCTGTCTCGGTGAGGGGCTGGGGCGATAGCATCGCGGGTAGGGCGTTTGCCTTGCACGCTGTCGACCCGGGTTCGATTCTCAGCATCCCATGTGGTCCCCTGAGCACCGCTAGGAGTAATCCCTGTGCATCGCCGGGTGTTTCCCAAAAGGGGGGAAAATACTAAACACAGCTCTGTGAGGGCCAGAGCCATAGTACAGCGGGTAGGCCGTTTGCTTTGCAAGTGACCCACCCAGGATCCATCCCCGTCATCCCATATGGTCCACCGAGCACTGCCCAGAAAACAAAACACAAACCAAAAACCCAGTCTGTTATTTCTGGTTGTTTCAACAATTCACGCTTCTCAGGGCCCCTGCTCCTGGAAGGGCCCACCCACTCACATACCCCTCCGAACAGGAATGGGCCTTGCTCCAACGTAAGCCCAGTTGGAGGGACAAGGGAGAGGGGGAGCTTCAAAGCATCTCCAAGTTCTTCACGGCCCCGTGGGCGTCCACCCAACATGCTTTTCTCTTTTCTCTGGATCATGCTTTTCTCTTTTCTCTGGAGGAAGACAGGCTGAGGACAGGTCCTCACTCTCACTCTCCCTGGTACTCCCTCCTTCCCCAACCTCACCCCACAATCAACTCTTCCCTTCTAAGAGCCCCAGCTCGGTGGAGGAGGCAGAGGAGAGAGCTGGAAAGGTGAACAGAGAAAGATGGGGTGGAGATACGGCCCCACGAGGAAAAACTGATGCTCCTTGCCTCTGCCCCAGATACCATGGAAAGTCTTGACCCCTGTTTTCACTTCATATTCCTTCCTATCAGTGGGCAAGTGTGGGGCCCCTGGGGTGAGTAAGATCTGTTCCTCATCACCCGGTGACCGACTTTCAGCCCGCTGGAGGGGGTTAGCGGGACTGCATCTATCTAGGTCACCCCAGTGTCTTACTGCACCCCAGTGGCATCACTTGGTTTTCCACTGCCAGGTCACCAGGAAGGACAACCCAACTCCTTTGTGAGCAGTGGGGGCTCTCACTCTGCGGCTTCATTTCTGATTTCATAGTTGGGTTTTTTTTGGGGGGGCACACCTAGCAGTGCTTAGGTCTTACTCCTGACTGCATTCAGAGATCACTCCTGGCAGAACTTGGGGGGCCATATTGGGGGCTGGGGATTAAACCCAGGTCAGCTGAGTGCAAGGCCAAGTACCTCATCCCTGTTCTGTTTCACCGACCCCATATCTGTCTTTGATTCTTGTATCACAGAGACCAAGAGACCAGCTGGGAACAACCTCGGTTTTCACAGGAAACATTTCCGAGCCAGGCCAGCTCTGGTGTAGAGTCTCTCTGACCTCATGTATAAATATATACACTAGTAACTAAATAGTAAATAATAAGGGAAGATGCTTTTCTATTCCTAATTTACCCACCTCAAGCCCTCCCCTCATAATTTACCAAATATATCAGTGAGACCAAGTCAATGCACAAGTCCTTTACCCCCCTTTTGACCTAGTTTTTAATTTAGGTAGTCTAGTTTTTAGTTTTTAAAGTTTTTTTTTTGTTATTTTTGGGCCATGTCTGGGCATGCTTGGGGAGAACATACCTTTCTGGGGATTCAACCAAGCCTCTACTAAACCTCTGATATCCAGTCCTATGAACTCTCCAGCACCTCAGTTTTTTTTTTCTTTTTTTGGGTCACACCCGGCTTTGCACAGGGGTTACTCCTGGCTCATGCACTCAGGAATTACTCCTGGCAGTACTCGGGGACCATATGGGATGCTGGGAATCGAACCCGGATCAGCTGCGTGCAAGGCAAATGCCCTACCCGCTGTGCTATTGCTCCAGCCCCGCACCTTAGCTTTTTAATTAAATTAAAAAAAATTTTTGGCAGGGGGGCACACCCAGCAAACCTCAGAGGTTACTCCTGGCTCTGCACTCAACAATTACTCCTGCAGGTATTTGGGAGACCATATGGGATGCTGGGAATCAAACCTGGGTCGACTGCGTGTATAGTAAATGCCCTACCCTCTGTACTCTAGCTCTGGCCCATAAGTTTGTGACTTTAGAAAGGCCCACACCCCCAACAGTGCTGAAGGACCCGGGGGTCACTCCTCATCAGGGAGTGCAGGCCTGATGGTTCAGAGTTAGACCAAGTAACGTGGTGCTTGAAGGTCACCAGAGCCACCTCAGTGGTACCCAGAGGCCACTGATCATGCTTGGGGCGCCACTAGGGCCACACCCAGTGGTACTCAATGTATGGGGGTGTGTAATATGATGCTGAGGATCAAACTCAGGGTCATGGACGTGCCTGATGGTGCTGTACCACTTGAGCTATATCCCTGGGCTCTGGTTCTGTATTTTCTCTGTCTTAGCAATTCCACCACGGTGAGGAGGGGGTAGAATGGCTGGGCACAATAAAGGAGGGAAGCGGGAAGTTGCTGGGTTCCCGTGTGCTGGTGTGCTGGTGCTCTGTTCTTGCCCATTCACTCTCCCATCCGTGATTGTCTCAGTCTGCAGTTAGGACAGGGCTGGCTGATTAGGGGGGCTCCGTGCCCAAATGCCTGCATGTCTGGAAGTCCCTTGGCTGTGATTCAGGTCCCCCGGAATGTGGCCCCTCCCAGCTCTCTCAGGCCACAAGAGCCGGAAATCTCACCTGAGCACCTGAGCACCTGAGCTGCAGGACTTCCCCGGCTGGAATTGGAATTCCCAGACTCGGAAATTCCCAGGCCCTGAGGGAGAAGTAATTAGGTTCAGACACCAGTTTCCTGGGGGAGGGGTGCGATCGCCCGGGCTTTGTTTTCTGTGGGGTCCCCTGAGCCTTAGGAGTGCAAGGAGGACCAGGATCTGGAATCCTGGGGAGAGAAAGATGTCAGGAAGCTGCTTCCCTCCCCTGCTGCGGAATGAAGGACAGAGACCAGGTTTCTTTACTAAGCACGCTTTATTTCTCGCCACTGACCAGTAGGGCGATTACAGACACAACTCCCCTGGGGAGCAGAGGTTCAGCGATGCAGCGACTGTTAGTCACCAGATCAGCATTAATGTAGACAATTTGATCAGATAAATAAAACCATTTGCAAAGGAGGCCCACAAACTGAGAGACCAGCTGGGAACAATCTCGGTTTTCACAGAAAACATGTCCGAGCCAGGCCAGCTCTGATGTAGGGTCTCTCTGACCTCCTGAATAAATATATCCACTGGTAAATAAATAAATAATAAATAAATAATAAATAATCACAAGTGCAAACATAAATAGACGGAGCGAGCCCCCACCGGGAAGGGGCCGCGTTCTCAGGCTTTGGGAAGAGCAGGGAAACGGGAAATGGTGGTTGTGAGCCCGAAATCTGCTCCTGTCAGCTTCTAGATGAATCTGTGCAAGGGGATGTTCTGCAGTGTTACGACAAGAACCAGAGATTCTCTGGACTCTGCATTCCAGGTGTGCAATCAGGGGTATAAGCCTGAGGCCCCTGGTGGGTTCTGGAAGCCCCAGTTTGAAATCTTGGTAGTGGCTCGTATCTCAGTAGCCATCTCCCGCAGCCTGCATTCTTCAGTGTTTAAAATTCTAAGTGTGTGTATGGGGGGAGGGGGGTGGCCCTGAGTCCCGATTCCCCTTCTAAGCCAGAAAGGGATGAGGGGGTGATAAAGGGACTGAGGCAGGTGAGGATGGGCCTCCCACCCCTCTCACAGGGCAACGATCCCAAAGTAGACCTGCTCAGTTTTGGCAAGGTCCAGATAGTCAGGCAGATTGATCTCCGCGCTGAGCCGGTCGCCTTTCTCCAGGTGGAAGACCCCCCCCAAATAGATGGGCTCGAACCAGGGCCTCGCCTCTGACCCCTCTGGGGTCTCCCTCGAGCAGGGACTCTTGATGGCAGAGAGAAGAGCTACCTTGGTCTGGTAGGAGACAGCAAAGCGCTTGATGTTATGGGTGAGGAGCAGGTGGGTGGAAGGGCAGTCTTGGCCCTGGAAGAGGACCTGGGAGTAGATGAGGTACAGCCCATCAGAGGGCACCACCAGCTCATTGTCTGTCAGCTCCATGCCATTGGCCACCAGGGTATTGGCTACTCGGTTCTGCCACAGGAGTTTTCCTTCAACTTGGTCTGCTGGAGAGAGGAAAGGAGAGAGAGAGAGAGTTGAGTCAGTGTGACCATGTCAGTTCCACTCTCCACATCTTGGTCCTCAAGTTCTGCCCACTCCCCATATCCGGTTCCTATCTGCCTGTCTCCTACATCCCATCTGGATGTGAAACTATGAGCATCCTCTCCAAGGCTGGTGCTCTTCCTCCCTCCTCACCTGGAACCCAGTTAGTTCTTCTGATGCTGTCTACCCTCAGCTTGGGTTCAGCCCCTCCCCCCAATCCTACCTCTTCCCATTCCATCTGCTTGTTCATCCCCCTGGTTGTATCTCAGAACACTTACCTACAACATGGGCTACAGGCTTATCACTTGGGAACCGAGATGATCCTGAGGAAAGAGAAAAGGGTGAGATTCTTAAGTTTTCCAGTAACCATCCCGCTCTGATTTCTCTTCTTCTAAATCCCTCCCACTGCTTGCACCTTAGGACTAACCCCATCAAACGAGAATTAAGCGAGAGACTTGGCAGCTGCTCAGCTACTTACTCAGGGTCTGGGCCAGAGGGTTGATGAGCGGGAAGCTGTCTGGGAACTGCAGGGAAAAAAGAAGGTGGATTAGCATCAGAGCAAGCCCTATCCACAGGAGCAATAGCCAGGCTGCTGATCTAGTCTGTGCTCTCTGCCCTGCGTCTTCAGCCATGCATTCATTCACCCACCCATCTGTTCGACTCTTTCATCGAGTTCCTTCATTGTGCCAGAGACCCTATCATTGTCATCTTTCTTTTTCCTTACCCTTCTTCTTATCTCTCTTTTGCATCTCCTGCAACTCCTTCTGTCTCTGCATCTTCATTCATTTTACTTGCTCTCCCTCTCGACCCACACCCACACCCACATTCTTTGCACATCTTTTTAATCGATGTAGAGCTGCTTGGTCATTCATTCACTACTCAACAAATATGAATCGAGCCACACATCCTATTTCTCCAACCTTTCTCTCTCCCCGTCCTTCTCCACATCTCTGCACGTTTTTCTCCCCATCAGCACAGCTCTTTCCTCCCCCCCCCCCCCTCCCCATCACCTACTGCCCTGTTTCTCCTGGTTTCTTTCTGGCTGAGAGAAGTTAGACTGAGAGAAGTTAGACTCTCACCTCTTCCCTCTGAGGGCCGATGACCCTGAAGTGCAGCAGGCAGAAGAGCGTGGTGGCTCCTAAGATGACGACGAAGGAGAAGAGACTGAGGCACCAGCACCTCCTAGAGCCCTGGGGGCCCCCTTCCTTCTTGGGGAGTGCTTCCTCAGCCAGTTCCACGTCTCGGATCATGCTTTCTGTGCTCATGGCGTTCTTTTCAGAGGGCTCAAGTCCAACGAGGAGGTGGTGGAACCCCAGGGCAGTGTGTGGTGAAGGAGAGAATCTTCTAGCTGCTTGCCCAAGGGTGTGCTGTCTGTTAGGTGAGTTCCAGGGGGTGTCTGGAGTGGCTTCTCTGACTGGTCCCCTGGTGTCCTCGCTGCAGGAGCGTCTGTTGGCTGGGTGTGCTAACAGCTGCGTTTATATGCGCCTGTGGGGCAGAGGAGGGCGGGGAAAGACTCTTATTCAACCAGCGGAAAACTTCCTTGGTGGAGAAACCCATGAGCTCATCTGGAGGAAGCGGTCGGTAGTGGGCTCTGCACCATCGTTCATAGTTTCTTCTCCATCACGGGGGTGAAGGTCTGGAAAGTTGATACCCAGATATCAAGGATCCTTTTCCCCCCCTCCCCACTCAGATTCTGAGGGGTGCTTGCTGGGTTAGTTGTTGCTGCATATTTGTAACTCTGAAGGCTGGAACCAGTTCCTCTTCCCCCCCTCCTCAATTCCTTTTGTCTGCACAATCGCGCACACGTGTATCTGTGTGTGTGTGTGTGTGTGGTTGGGGGAATCAAATTTGTGGTCTGTTTCCATCTGATTTCTAAACAGGAATCTTGGGAGGGGCTCCAGAAAGCTGAGTCCTTAATGTTAAGAAAAATCGGGGTGCTTAGCTTAGTCCTAAGATGTGGATTCAGTCCAGTCCTTGGATGGGGGCAGGGAGCCCAGGGAAGGGGAACTTGAGGCTGGGGGGCACAGAGAAGGCCTCTGAAAGGGTTGGGGGAGGTGGTTGCAGGGACAAGTCTGGGACATCCCCAGAGGGAGTGAAACAACTCTGGAAATTCATGCCCCCACCAGGGTAGGTCTTCTGCTTTCATTTTGACCGGTACTCTTGTACTGTTTTCAGTATGGCTCCTAAAGGAATCGGGGGGCCCGATTTTTGATTTTTAATATTTTTTTAATTATGGGGGAAAAGCAGCTCAGATAGAGAAGGGAACACCAAGTAAAGGGTATTTGGAGGATGTGCTCAGGATGGGAGAGTCATGCTGAAAGTAGACTATAGACCAAACATGATGGCCTTTCAATACCTCTATTGCAAACCGCAACTACCTAAAGGAAAGAGAGAGCAAAAGGGAATGCCCTGCCACAGAAGCAGGGTGGGGTGGGGGGATGGGGTGGGGGTGGGAGGCTTACTGGGATCGTTGGTGGTGGAGAATGGGCACTGGTGGAGAGATGGGTACTTGATCATTGTATAACTGAAACCCAAGCACGAAAATTTGTAAGTCTACAACTGTATCTCATGGTGTTTCACTAAATAAAAAGTAAAAAAAAAAAAAGAACAACAAATTAAAAAAATAATTTTTAATGGAATCACCAAGAGTTACAAAGTTATAAATTTATTATTTAAGTTATTCAAAGACACCTCCAAATTTTATAACACTGTCAGTCCAGTAGGGTAACAGCAAATCTGATAGGAAAATTACATAGAAGCCCACCAACTTCAGTGAGCGAAAACAATAACACCAACCAGCCCAGGAAATCCTCAGACAGTGACTTTAGTGTCACCAGTGTGAGATAGAACAATGACCACAAATTGACTTTTATTGATCTAAGTGTTGATAATCTCATTTGCCTTTGTGCCTTTGTGTTGTAACAAACATTGAGAAGTAAATTTGTTTTACTACTAGTAGGCTGGGATGGTGGGCAGGAAACTGGGGACATTGGAGGAGGGAAGGTCACACTGGTGGTGGATATGTGGCCTTTTGGATCACACCCAGGGATGCCCAGGGGTACTCCTGGCTCTGCACTCAGGAATTACCCCTGATGGTGCTCAGAGGACCACATGGGATGCTGGAAATGAAACCCAAGTCAGCCACATGCAATGTCTTACCCTCTGTGCTCTCGCTCCTGCCCTAGGTGTTGGAACATTTAATACCTGAAACAACTTGGTAAATGTTAAAAACAAGGTTTTTAAAAAATAAAAAATCATTTTGTATTATAACAGAAAAAATTTTAATTAAAGCACCATGAATTACAAAGTTGTAAAGTTATTCATGATTTGGTTTTAGGCGTACAATATTCCAACATCAATCCCTTCACAGTGTCCACTTCCTTCCACCAGTGTCCCCGGTTTCCTGCCCAAAGAGGCTCTGTTTCTTTTTTTTTTCTTTTTGGGTCACACCCAGGGATGCTCAGGGGTTACTCAAGAATTACTCCTGGCAGTACTTGAGGAACCATATGGGATGCCGGGGATAGAACCCGGGTCGGCTGCGTGCAAGGCAAATGCCCTACCCGCTGTACTGTCACTCTAGCCCTAAGGCTCTGGTTCTTGCAGAAAGCCAAATCCCTAAAAGCCCCTGTGTGGGACCCACATCTCCTTAAGCGCCCCTTCATTCCCCAGCTCCCTAGCCTTGGAAACACTCCCAACCCCCAAGGGGCCTTGCGTGGCCCTGCCTCTCAGGGGGTTCCCATGCTGAAATCATGTGGTGCAGCCACTTCCCCTCAGAGGCCTCTTAAAGCCCCCATTCTGCAAAGCCTTCTTTTCCATGGGTTCCGCGGCCCCACTTTTTAAGACCTTGGATCCTCATAGTTCCTTGTCTCCTCTGCTTGTCCTCAGTGGCCTGGCTGCCCTGTCCCCCTGAGCTCACCACCTTTGCCCTTTGCCCAGAGCCCCTTAGGGCTCTCTCATCCAGATCACAGCTCCTCCCTCCGTTCCTCAGAGAGACCCCGGGAATTCCTTCCCCCAGACACAGATACAAGCAGACAACATTTCAGAGAACAGAAGTTTATTGGGCTTCACTGAAAATTCATGCCCCCACCAGGGTAGGTCTTCTGCTTTCATTTTGACCGGTACTCTTGTACTGTTTTCAGTATGGCTCCTAAAGGAATCAGGGGGCCCAATTTTGCAGATGTCTCCTCTTGGGGGGCCTAGCCCAGCAGTGAGGCCCAGAGGAGCCTTCTGCTTCCTTCTGGAGCCCCTATTCCTCAGACCCACCTTTTTTGCTCCCGCCCTGGGTCACCTTTGTACCAATGCTGTCCTACTCTTCTCTCGGTCATCTACTTATCTCTGTCTTTTGATGTCCCTCTACTATTCCCTTTATTTCATTCTCCATAAATAAATAATTTAAAGAATTTCCCTTCATAAATAATCCCCCCTCCATGCCTGCAGTCTGCCACCCAAGCCGTGTGTGTGTGTATGTGTGTGTGTGTGTGTGTGTGTGTGTGTGTGTGTGTGTGTGCGCTCTTTCCCTGAGCCCAGGCTGAGGCCCCTAGAAACAGATGGAAAGCCCAGGGCAGGAGTTTCTAGACAGACTTGAAATCCTCAGTGAGCATCCGGGGTGGAGGGAGGTGTGGTTCCCTGGGGTGCCTAGAGTTCCTTCACTGGAAGCTCCGGGTGACGTGAGGGTGGAAGACTTGAGACTGCTGGGCCAGTGGCAGGAAAGGTGTGGTGACCTTTGACAGGGTCAGAATGGAGACAAAAATCGGGAGAAGTTCTTGAAACCAATTTCCTTCTTTTTTTTTCCCCCCTGCATCTTCTACAGAGCAAAGGCCCCAAAGAAGACACTACTGGGGCTGAGGAACAGGTGGGCGATGCCCTCGGTGTGGGTGGACAGCTGGTCTCCCCTGCTGAGCAGGAACACGGCCCCCTGATACATGGAGCGCATCCAGGGTCCCTGCAGGCCGGGGCACACGGACTTCTGGGTGCTGAGGAGAGGCACGTGGAAGGGGTACTGGGAGGAGAAGAGCCGCACCTCGTGCGCCAGGTAGCGAGGGCTGGCCTCGGTGGGGCAGCCGTCTCCGGAGAAGACCACCTGGGAGTAGACGAAGTAGAGACCGCTGGCGGGGACCAGGAGGGAATTGTTGCTCAGAGAGAAGCCGTGGCGGAGGAAAGCGTGATCCGTGTTTGCTTGCCAGCGCAGGGACTCCTGGGTGCTGGGGTCTCCTGTGAAAATCATGGGGGGAGGTCAGAGGGACGGAGGGGCCAGAGGGACAGAGGGGCAGAGGGATGGAGGGATGGAGGGACGGAGGGGGCAGAGGGACAGAGAGGGTAGAGGTCCTAGTTTCTAAGGAGACAGCTTCCTGGGAAGAGAGATGGAAGTGCGAAGCCTCTGCTTTGGGGTTGAGGGACAATGGGGGAAGGTGGACTGGAAGCCTGGGTCCCAGAAGGCGGGGTGGGAGGGTCCCTGGGGGTGCCGAGTCGGGGAGGGCCATCTGATGTTTACCGACAAGGTGAGCAGCAGGTTTGAGGGTGTGCTGGGTGAGGCGGTTCTGGAGGTGCTCATGGGCCTTTCTGGCACCCGAGGGTGAGAGGCCAATGCCAGGGAGCCCCTAGGGGGAGAAAAGAGTTGAGGGGACTCTAGAGTGGGACCTCTAGAGTCGGTCCAACATTTGGCTGCCCCTCCTGGTCCCCCAGCAAGACCCCCGCCCCGCCCCCCTCGCCCCCCCCACCCCCGTTCTGCTGTCTCACCTGCATCTCAGGTGGTAGGACCAGCAGCAGCCCCAGAAGGAGGAGGAGGGGGGCGCCCCCGCCTGCCCTCAGGAAGTAGAGATGTCCAGATGCAGTCATGGGGAGAACCTGCGGGGAACCATGGCCGTGAGTGGCGGAAGATGAGCCTCCTACCCGTGGAGAAGCCGCCACACACACACACACACACACACACACACACACACACACACACACACACAGAAGGAACCAGATGCAGTCGGGGGAACCCTGAAGTGAGAGAGGAAGACAGAAAGTGAGAGGGGAAACAGAACAGAGGGAGGGAACACAGAAGGACCAGGGCAGAGACAGAATGTGAGCCACAGAGGAAAGGAGACTAAAGTGGGGAGAGTCGGAGAGAGGGAACCGGCCGGACCCAACCCCAGTCCCCCCACCCCCACCCCGGCCCCGGCCCCGGCCCCGTGGGAAGTGCAGGGGGACAGACCAGGGCCCCCGACGCCCCAGTCCACTCCTGGGCAGCCCGAGGAGATGGTGCAGGCGCGTCTCACCTGCTGTGCGGGGCTGCTGGGCTCGGATGCCTGGGTCCCTTTATAGAGGAAGCAGCGGTGCAGCGTGGCAGGCGGCGGGCGGGTTCTGGGCCGGGGCTGGGGCGCGGGGAAGCCCCCAGGGCTTAGCCAGTGTGGGCTGTTTCAGTCAAGGCAGGAAAAGGCTGAGGCCTAGGAGAGAACCGCAGGCTGAGGGCTCAGACGGCTAAGTTCTGGGAAAGGGAGTGGGGTCAGGGGAACCATGGAGGCTTAGGAGTTCCAGAGAAGAGCAGTTGATTCAGGGAGGAGAAGGGGCTGCAGCTGGGGTGTAGGCTGGAGGCCAGTTCCCTGAAGAGCAGTTATGTGGAACCCGTCTGCAGTCTCGGCTGATGGCAGGTGGCTTTGGACCGTTTCCTCCTCTTGTGTCCCTGTCCTAAATGGCTAAGTCCTTTGTCCAGTATGTGTCTTTTCTAGGTCCTCTGACAGGTTTCATATCAAGAAGCGCCATTCTGTCTATAGTCTGCTCTCATCACACATGATTGCTACTCAATGTCTCTTTTGCAAACCACAGCACTCAAAAGGAGAGAGATAACAAAAGGGAATGGGGAATGCCCTGCCACAGAGGGGGATGGGAGGGATACTGGGATCAGTGGTGGTGGAGAATGGCACTGGTGGAGGGATGGGTATTCGATCATTGTATAACTGAAAACCAAGCACAAAAATTTGTAAGTCTACAACTGTACCTCATGGTGTTTCACTAATAAAAATTTAAGGAAAAAAAAAAAAAAGAAGCACCATTCTGTGCCTCATTTTGATTTCTGACACTGTCCAAACCTGAAGATGTTCACGGAGCCCATTCCTGCTCTCCACTATGTCTAAGTTTGGAAGATTAAGGTTCTGGTCCCGTCCTCAGGGATGGAGCTGTGTTCTCTGGTGGGACAAGCATTCATCACACTTCCAAAGGATGTTTTCCTCCTCATCCCAACCTTAGGAGGAACCACAGACAAATACACTCCAGAATCAAGGAACATGACTGTTAACTTTCAGAATTTCCCAGAAGCATTTCAGGATAGAGTGCCTGTCTTGCATACGTAAAGCTCTGGGTGTGGTTCTCAGCACAACAAAATAAAATGGGGTGGTGGGGGCGGGAGAAAGATAGTTCAGGGGTAAGGCACTTGCCTTGCATCCCGCCCACCTTGATTCAAGTCCCCAGCACTGAATATGGTCCCCTACCACCTCTAGGAGTGCTTAGAAAAGGTAGTGAAGGGGGCTGGAGTGTTAGCACAGCGGGTAGGGCGTTTGCCTTGCATATGGCCGACCCGGGTTCGATTTCCATCATCCCGTATGGTCCCCTGAGTACCGCCAGAAGTAATTCCTGAGTGCAGAGCCAGGAGTAACTCCTGTGCACTGCCGGATGTGACCCAAAAAGCTAAAAAAAAAAAAAAAAGAAAAAAGAAAAGACAGTGACTTAAAGTTGACTAGAGAGCTCAGAAACTGTTCTTAAGAAACTTTATTTGCTCAACTGGTGCTCTAAAATCATTGAGTTTGAGGTCAAAGAGACAGTGTAGCAGTTAGGTTACTTGCCTTGAACATTGGGTTCATTTTCCAGACCCTGAGCTCTGCCAGGAGGGATGCTGAGTGCTGGGTCAGGAGTGAGCCCTGAGCACTAAAAGGTGCGGTCCCCAAAACAAAAAAATTTTTTAAAAAATCATCAAGAATGGCCCAGAGAGATCACTATTGGGCAGGAGTACATGCTTTGCAACCAGTGGGGTCCAGTTTTGAGTTTTGACACTATATGGTCTCCTGAGTACTGATCTAGGAGTAGTACCTGAGCACAGTTGGGTGTGGTCCCCAAACAATAGAAGTCATCGAAAATTTTCATCTTTTATTGATATGTAAGCTTAGGTACAGAGAGGTACATATCTCTTCAGTTTACAGCTTGATATACTTTTTCATCTGTAGCTAACTCTGTAGCCATTGCCCAATTCAACATGTTTTCAGGTCCCCAGAAGTTTCCCTTATGCCCCGTCCCAGTTGATTCCCTCCAAAGATAGCCAGCCACTTTCTGATCTCTATCACCACAGTTTAGTTCTTTTTCTTTTGAACTTCATTTAAATGAAATTACACGGGCCGAGATAGATCAAGCTGTTCAGGCTTTGTATGCAGGAAGTCTGGGCTTGCTCCAGCACCAACTAGCTCCCCAAGCACCAACAGGAGTGACCTCCAAGCACTGAGCTGTGAGTATTCCATAAGCACCATTGGGTGTGGTCCTAACCCCCCCAAACAAAAAACTAAATAAAGGAAATTACTCACACTGTACTAATTTGTACTGGTTTCTGGTTTCTTTCACTCAACATTACGCTCATGAGATTCATCCATGTGTTTGCATGGGTCAGTTAGCATTTCTTAATTGTCATGTAATAGTATATTGTGTGAATATAGTCACTGTCACTGTCCTCCCATTGTTCATCGATTTGCTCGAGCGGATCCAGTACCATCTCCATTGTGACAATTGTTACTGTGTTTGGCATATAGAATATGTCATGGGCAGCTTGCCAGGCTTTGCCATGCGGGCAAGATACTCTTGGTAGTTTGCCAGGCTCTGCGAGAGGGGCAGAGGAATCGAACTCGGGTTGGCTATGTTGGCCGTTTGCAAGGCAAATGCCCTACCTGCTGTGTTTTTCCCTTTGTAAATGGGCGTTTTTTTTTCTTTTTGGGTCACACCTGGCGATGCTCAGGGGTTACTCCTGACTTTGCACTCAGGAATCACTCCTGGTGTTGCTCAGGCGACCATGTAGGATGCTGGGAGTGAAACCCAGTTCGGCTGCATGCACGGCAAATGCCCTACCCACTATGCTATTGTTCCAGCCCCAGTGGGCATTTTGTTTGCTTCTAGTTTTTGGTTAATACAGAAAACACTGGCATAAGCATTTTAAAAATATCAACCAGCTTTCACTTGTCTTATAAGTTGCAGGTTTAAAAAAGCAGCGTGGGGCCAGGGATGTGAGTGGGTGGAAGAGCACTTGTCTTGCTGTGAGGCCCTGGGTTAGATTCCTACCTAGTATACATATATATAAAACAAAAGCTGTACTTCTAAAGATGAATTTCTTTGTTTTGCTCCTTTTTTTTTCTTATTGGGTCATACCTGGTGATGCACAGGGGTTACTCCTGGCCCTGCACTCAGGAATTACTCCTGGCGCTGCTCAGGGGACCATATGGGAATTGAACCCAGGTTGGCTGCGTGCAAGGCAAAAGCCCTACCTGCTGTGCTATTGCTCCAGCCCCTTGCTCTCATTTCTTTATCTTTCTCTGTTCTCTATAGGGCATTATACAAGGCATTGAGGATACAGATGATAAAGTTAGTCTTTGACCTCTGAGAGCTGAAAGACAGGGTGGCAGACAGGTTAGTTATTAGATAAAGTACAAATGTGATTATTTCTGAAAAACTGGTTTATGGAAACCCATTGAAAAACCATTATACTTGGCCGGGGGAAGAGGTGATTTGGGCATTAAGTATTGAGACAAAGACAATGCTGAGGTACATTCTAGAGAGAGGAAAACTGTAGGGTCAAAGACAAGAGGTTAAAAAAACATATAGGGCCAGGGATGTAGCTCAGTGCTACTTGTCTTATATGTGGGAGACCGTCGATTTGATTCCTGGCACCAATATCACACAAAGCATGCAGTGTGCTGACATATGCAGCCGAGCACAAATATAACAGGTAGAGATAAGGCTTGAGAAGTAACCTGACATGTGAACGGATTTAAAATTAAGAAAAGAGGGTTGGGTTTCATTTTAATTAGAATGGGGAGTCACTGAAAAAGTTTGAGAGGAACACTCCCAGGTTGGAATATTAGGAAAAGAATTCTAGGGGATTCTGGAAGTTATAAGAAGGATTGGAGTATAGGGGGTGGAAAACAGAAGTGCAGAGATCGGTTATTTTTCAAAACTCAGCAAGGAGATGAGAAGGTACATTTGTATCAAGGAAGTGGCAGTCTGGAAAGGAAGCACATCTAGGCAAAACCGACGGGCTGGGTTGGTGAGATGATGGGGAAGAGGGTCACAGATGCCTCTTTTAAATATTTTGGTCAGTTTCTTGGCATTTCATCCTTTTAATATACTGCCTCTTGTGTCAAGATTGGCTTCTCTCTTAGTCCCTGGCCCTTTTCTTATCTCTCTGCCTGCTTTCTTCCTGCTGACCTCTCTGCCTCTCTTTCGGTAAGAGCAGATCAAGCGATCTCAGATATGATCTCAGTTGGTGTTGTGATTAACGGTGGGAACAGAAAGAGAGAAACTTAAGTCAGAGAGAAAGACTAAGGGACAGAAAAGGGAAGAAAGTGAGGATGAATGAGAGGAGACAGGAGACAGAGGAAGGAAGGGCAAGAACTGGGCCAAGGCTTTTTGTCACGGGTGTCTGCCATGTGTTGAAGGATACTCCTTGAGATGGGGCAATCTTGGTTTCAATCTCAGTTTCAGAGGTTGTATAAAATTTGGTTTCTTTCTTGGGGAGGCCAGCAGTTGGTTTGGGGCTTTCCCTGGGTGGGAGAGATGATGAAGTCTTATGCCCCAAACTCAGAGAAATAGTCTCTAAAGTGGTCTCTGTGGAGAAAATAGTGAAATCTGAGGCCTCCCAACGAGGCTCAGATGACATTAAACTCAAACTTGAACTTCAGTCAGATTTCTCAAAACCTGACTCGAGATTTAATGCCAGCTTTAACCCTAACCCAAATTTAACCTCAGCCCAAATCGCAACTCGAATTCAGCTCTCACCTGAAGTCTCAACGTATCCCAATAAACGAAGCTCAAAGGGACTTCAACCCATTTCTGAGCCCGTCTTGAAATCGGCTCGTCCGTTCCTAAGTCTCTAGTTATATCTGACTGGCCCTGTGAAGTGCAGCCTGAGCCACAGACCAAAGAGGAGCTTCCCCCAGCTCTGCCTTCCCTGCTCTGCGTTCTCCTGGTTGACTTTGTCCTTCTTCATCCAACCTCCACTTCGTAGCTCTTTAGTGAGGGTCCAGGGAGCTGATGCAAGTGTCAGAGCACGTGTTTAGCGTGTGTGAGGGAGGCCCTGAGTTCAATCCTTGGCACTCGAGGGCCTCTGATGGCTCCCAAGCACCAC